AAGGATAGATGCCAGGACCTGAAACATGATTTATTGAGTATTGTTATTTATTTGTACAGTTGAAGGATAGATGGCAGGACCTGGAACAGGATTTATTGAGTATTGTTATTTATTTATTTATTTGTACAGTTGAAGGATAGATGCCAGGACCTGGAACAGGATTTATTGAGTATAAAAAGAACAAAAAAGAGTTTGCAGGTGAGATTGTTATGAAATCGTTTCGTATAATTCTGCTAAAGGTTTATTATCAATAAGCCTAAATCGTGTTGCAGAAACGTAAAATTAGTCTCACATTCTTTGAATTTCCTGTTTGTTTTTATCAGTAACAGTTTCATTTTCGCTAAGTAACAAATGGCAGTAAATATTGCTCTATGATACATGGCCTGCCAAAAACATTATCAGATTCACGATCTATACAAACAGTGAAAGTTACTGATTGTAATAAATAAACTCACTCTCTTCATTATGAAAAATGTTGAAACATTCGTGTTACTTTATAAGTAACTGAATAAAGCTACTAAAAATAACTATCAAACCCAACCTGTAAACCAATTTATTTCTTGTTACTGAGTTATACCGGTTTTGGGGACTAGGACTACTACTAATGAGGGGTGAAATTCCCCGAAACAGGTAAAACTCAGTAACATAATTCAGAGTAATCAATTAGTAGTATAAATAATACAGATTGTTCAAATTATGTATGTATGTATAATCGGTTTACTGTGGTGAGTAAAATATAACTCAAACACGATACAGAGCAGAAAATTATAGTAATAAAAATATCCGTTTCAAGTTTTCGGATTTTCCCAGTGATCACAAATTGAGAATACTTATTAATTTGATCAAATTCCATTGACTAGAATTTCTTAATAGTAAATATAAACGTCTTTCTCCAGACTGTAGAGAAAATGGCAAAGGCTGACCACAGTGAAAACATAGAGAAAACAACAAAAGCTGACGACAGTGACGACAGCGACTTTATAGCCACAGATTCCGGTCGCCACAGCTTCCAGGCTGAGGATGAAAATGACCAACCAGATAATGAAGAAATATTGATTGACATCCCAACGATCCGCCCACCGGTAGGATTTCGATCTCCAGTTGATGAAGAATACTTGAGTGAAAACCTTAAACTACAGAAAGAACCCCAGAATCCAAGTCCAGCTATAGATTGTTATTCATCAAAGCCGGACTCTGACCTAGACTGGACTTACCCCAAAATACCTAAAGTAAAGATTATACACTCTAATTTTGAAAGTAGTGAAAAATCCATTAAAAGAGCAGCTGATAAAAATGAATGGCTTCCAGAAAAAGAAATGGAGCTTTTCCAGAATAAGGAAACTCTTAGAAGAAGTTATCGCTCCTTCAATAGGCATACAGGAAAAGAATACAATTCTTCACCAAACGGTAGAAGATACCAACAAAAGAGAAACCCCACTCTCGAGAAACGACACCGTTCTTTAGAACGCACTGACATCCGTTGTCATAGAAACCAAAGGAAAGAAAGCCGATCAGTTGACAGGCTCGACTTGCGAGATGATCTGCACCATACAATCAGTAAAGGTTCAGAAGATCGTGATTTTATTAACGAACAAAACAAAGGGGAGACACATAACCACGAACAAGAAAACTACGATAACAGCGAGCTGTGTGAAAGAAAAATTGGAATAATTGAAACCGATTTCAATGAATTTGGGGACAGCTCTAATGTAAGCTCTGCCGACAGACAGACCAATGGTGTTGGTGCAAAAATAATCTCAAGCAACTGTGAGAGTGGGTACTCTGATGGAATGGTCCGAAGCAGTCCACTTCCAAGTCCAGAAGAGAATGATAAGCATTGGGAGAACGTGTACAATTTTCTTCCGGATAATTCGAACCAACTTAGAAAACCGGATAAAAAAAAGGTTTGGGATATTTTTAATGTTGGTTTATCAGAAGCTACAGAACGGCATGGAGGATCCATTGACCTCAGCTATAAAATTAGTAATTCTGATGAACTTGGAGAGAGAAGGCTTGAAACTGTAGTAGAGGAGAAACCTGATTGGAAGAACGATGACCCAATTGTGGGAAACGTCGACAGACCCTCCACGAGTGTCTGGAACGAAAAAGAAGTGAAATATGTTGATTCTTCTGGTTTTTTCTTTAGACCAAACACCACTTTGTTTGGCTCTTTGCTTGATGTAGAATCAAGCCAAGTCCAGACGGCAAACAAGACTTTACTAGAGGAGCCCATCAGGCCAGTCACCAAGATGTTCCCATTACCTGTTGCGTACAGAAATAACTTGTTATTACGTAGAAAGTTTAACTCTGACCTTTACTCCGGAGTAGAGAAAACCACAGATGCCACGTGTAGTCTTTATGACACGTGCAACAACGACGAGAACCATGCTCCAACAGATAGCATTAGTGCACTCGTACATCGGGAAATTACAGAGGCTGTGAAAGAGATGAATGGCTGGTTGTGACACTGCAATATTGTCCTCTAGTGTTAAGAGTGAGAACTAATACTCGTAAATCGGTGTATAAGTGCATCTTATTATTATATTTCATCATTAAGTTTTTTTTGTTGTTGGTCACACAACATATAATATCCAGTTCCCCGTTTTCTCTTACACGAATCACAAATTCAGTTAAAATTTATTTTTTACGTAGAGTTAAGGATTGACAGAAGAATTGAAAATATAATTCCTGGTTATTTCCAACGAGATACGATTTGTCGTATTCTTCACTCTTTAAACTGGTGTTAACTTATAGTAGCATTGATGTATTATAGGCTATTGTACTTATTTTCGTTATAGCACACAACACGCCCTAGATATTTGAACAGCTCATGCTCATCCCACAGTGAGGATGGCAACCCACAACACTCTGGATGCTCAGATGTAAAGAGGTCAGATCTATAGCTTTAAACACACACTTTGGATGTTCAGAATTAAAACAGCGAATCAAAATACTGAAACCTACCACATTTTTGCCATAGTTTTAATTTAAAATACAATAGTATAAATATTCGATTACTTTTTGTATTCGCATACAAAGAAAATTAACAGAAATTTTAAATCATTGTGTGCGCGTGTCAGCTTGTAACTGGCGAACCGTTGGACCGATTATCGCCAAACTTGTAATGTAATCTTAGCCCCCTCCCCTACGGAAGTGATATGGGGGGTCTGGTGTTGGGATCTGACCTCCTTTGTCTTCTTCGTGCGTTTTGTCCACGTATAACTGTTAAACCGATCATCGGTGAGTGACATGGGTGATCGGCGTTCGGACCTGACCCTTATGTCACCCCAGTTGGTTCCTATGGTTTTCCCGTGTGTCAGCGAGTATTATAATATTAATGTGTTGTCAGCCGTTAAAATTATGAACTCATTTCTACAATGTACTTAAAATTATAAATATTACTTAAAGACGAATCACTTTGTTGTTGCATCTAAATCATTAAAACTAAATTAACTACACGTTTCGTAAAAACCCTCGTTGTCACTTTTAATACCAATTTACTTTATCGTTTCTAAATAAAATAAAATCAAGTAATTTTTGTATGTATTCTGAATGTTTATCTAAAACAAAGCAATAGAGACAAACGTCAACTTTATGGTTGTCTGTGCTTCCCCCTGGCGAAGTAAAATTATCATTGAAAGCCCTCTAGTGACGTTCTTTAGAAACAATATTTGGTTGTATTGTAATCAGGCTTGTTGCTCCTTTACAATCTGTCAGGTAAATGACTTAAAACAAGGTAGAAAAAATGATAATTGTTACACTTTATCCAATCTTCTACACAACTATCAACATACTAACTTAACCAATAAATGCATCGAATCAAAATGATAGAAATAGTTCATTTCGATTGAAAGACTCGTGCATCAAGTGAACTCAAAATAAACGTTTCACTGAACATAATGTATTTCAAGATGTCTATTACTACATTAGAAGCAACTAAAACAATCGTTTAAAATGTTGTTGTTTGCATTTTTAAATCTCAGTCAATTAATGGTCAACATTTTACAGGTCTTGTAATATTGGATGGATGAGTGGATCTGTGGATTAGCATGCACATTTACGGGATCGATCAAAATAACAATCCACATTTAAATTTCAAAATGCTCATATTAAATAGTCTCAGAATGGGGGGATCAAGGGAATTTTGGAGGTTTTTAGGATCGGTCGTACCGATATACATGTAAATGACTTGAAAATAAAGTATGCAAAATTATAATTGTTATATTTTTGTTTTGTAACTAATTTTCATTATTTTTAATGGATTTATTTTTCGATATTCAGTGGTAATGCACTAGCTATGAATAATTTAATGTAATAACTCCTAACATTTCATTATAAGCTTCTCTTCGTTAATTATCAATTTTTATTTACTACAAGCGCTATTAAAACTGTTATAAGGAACGCTTTCGTTCCGTTATTTGAAGTGTAATTAATGGTTATTCCAGCCACCTAAACATTGTATGTTGATAAGTGTAGAGAAAACTGGTGCACAGACCGCCAATTTAAGATATAGTTTTTAAATTATGATCTTTATCAAATCCATAACAAAACTTACCTAAAACACAAAGACGATCACTCACATTTAATGTAAAACACAAAGACGATCACTCACATTTA